GTCATTTTGTAGCTAAAATATTCAGATAGCTGTGAAGCTCTGATGTATGTAGTTTTAATTGGATTATGTTGGTGTCCAATTAGTTTCCAACTAGTTTTATATAAAATTTTCATGTCTTTGAACAGTGAGAGAGCAGTAAGATGACAGATATTAAAATAAGCGCCAAGCTTTTAATGATCCTCCTTCTGAATATCAAGATCAGTAAAAATGACTCAAAGTGGCTGACTGGGACCATAATCTCATCAAGAAAATGTCTAAGCGATTTCCCCCTGCAGGAAAAAAGTGTATTCCTCTCTGGGTGTCAAGAATGCCCCTGTGACTGCTTTCACAGCATATTGCTGTGCTGATCATTTGAATTGAAGTGACACTCTGCCAGTAATCTCTGTGCCGTAGCTAAACTGTGAGAACAACCTAAAAATGCAGGTTTTCCTTCAAAGTAAAAGTTGTGCCTTTTGAAACGGTTCACTGAGGTGCAGCTTTTACTTTTTCAAGATTTGCCACCACTGGAATACCAGCAATACCACTTCATCCAGCAACAACCAGCCTCCAGGAACTGCTGCCACACAAACGATGACCCTGTCGTGCCCAATATGTAGTAAAACTCTTGAAAAATGTGCATTTGAGAAACCTCGCTAGTGTCGAATATTGCTGCCTAGTGGTCATTAAAAAAAAAGCACACACGTCTGTTACCCAGGTTTTGTTAATGGCATTTCAGATGTTCCTACTTCCAGTTAGATTCTGGATTTGTAACATAACTGATAGAAGCACTAGATCCAAAATAAAACAAGAATTATGCTTTATTTTAATTTTATTTTTTTAAATAGTGTTTTTAAATGGCCACATCTTAGAGAACTTTAGATGATTATGAATAGATACATGTATCTCATCAGTATCCATTAATAGCCACACCACATACCTTTATACTCTTTGGTCTTGAATTGGGGAAAACATAAGTAATTTATGCACATGTATTCGTCACTTCTCACAGATTTATGTGCTCTGTTCATGTGAAATGATCATAAGGGTGTTTTTTGTAACAGGGTCTTTTGAGGAGCTTGAATGCAGCATTGTGTTCTCAGAGCAGGCAGTGAACTAAAGGGATAAAAAGAAACAATTCATGCATGATTTTCCCAGATGGATGCCTGCAGGTCATTGTGTATTGTTCGGATCCAAAGCGTGTGAAGGTGGATTAGAAAACACAGGTTCTTGAAGAGAAGTCAGCAGTGTACCAGTGGAAAGTGTTTGTTCTTGCTGGGGGGTTCGGATCAAAAATCTGTCCTCCCAGCTCTCCTGGGGTTTTGCTGGCCGACGTCCAACACTAACCTCCACCCCACCCCCACCCTGCTGAACTCCATGATCTCTGTCTGACGATAATCTTTGAGACTACACAGAAATTACACTAAACACTTTGTGTTGTAATACAAAGAATCTGAGCTTAATTTAAATATCTTTTAGTGTTCCCTAACCATCACACCCCTGCCAGCAGTCTGAAATGCTGGTAGGGTCGTGTGCATGGATCGACGCTTTGTGTTGTTCGTACCAAATTCGAGCCCTAAATATCGCAGCAGAAATCGAGACTCATGAGACCAGTGTTGGGAAGCTTGTGTGAATTGCAGCTTCAGTTTCCTGTTCTTAGCTGACATGTCTCCGTGCCTAAATTTCAATTCAATTACAATTCCAGGTCTTTTATTACTGACGAAAAAGAACTTTGGATTGACCCGTAGTTAAACAGGTGTTCCTATTAACATGGCTGGCAAGAGTACAATAGGCCACATAACTTGTGATGCCAAACTGTTTCTAATTGCAGCATATCGGTCTGCCGATGTTTTCTCCAACTCGTCGACCAAAGAGGATTCACCAGATGACTCACGGAGTCCTGAACCTGCCGCGAAACCCTCTGCTGGACCGGATCTTTGGACACTCGCTAATCAACTGTCACGTGGAGCACCATCTCTTCCCCTTTCTGTCAGACAACATGTGTTTAAAGGTGGGACATCACAGATGAATATATTTACCTGCTTGTTGCAGAACTGTTGGATTCTTCTGCAGAGCAAAGGGCACAAACAAAACGAGAGCACACAGTTTAAAAAGTGACCATCACAGAACTTTGGATAATTATTAAATTGCTAAATGTATTTACGTATTTCCCACTATGGTTACTTTGTTCCTCTTGTGCAGGTGAAACCTGTTGTGTCCAAATACCTGACTGAAAAGCAGCTGCCATATCAGGAGGACACCTACTCGTCCCGCCTGCACCTGTTCTTCCACAAATACCAGGAACTGATGGTGTTTGCCCCACCCATCACAGAGCTGGTGGGGGTGCAGTGACAGAGGGAGGGCGAGCAGAAGAAAAAACCTGTTCGGACTAATGACCTCAGCCGCTCAAAAGCACAAGTATTTCTGCTGCCGCAGTTTGAACCTCTAACACACGGAATAGGTCCTGAATCGATGCGCAGTTTCTAATCTTAGGAAATTAACCCCACGTCTTAACGATCATATCAACTGAATGAATATCCTACACCTTTAGAGCTCATTTAACACAAAGAAGAATCAAACACTGGCCTGACTGTAGACACTGGGAGCTGAATTAAACAAAGCTGTGCAGCTGACCTGGGGCCTGCCTCATGAACAAATACAACAAAGTGAGCATTGTGTGAGGAAATTGTAGAGTCCTGCTTTGAAAATCTGAGACAACCCGAGCACTTTGGCTAGAAATAACCCCAAAATAAGAATGTTTCCAAAAGTAGAATAGAGGACAATACTACTTTTGGGAACATCAATGGAGGGGTGATGACCATTTGTGTTTTTAAAAAAAGATGTGACAAGAAATAACATAAAATGTTTAAACTGAGGTTTAATCTGCACCACATTTACTCTGATATTTAGGCTATTTAACCAAGTGTGCAGCTCCTTGCTGTAAAAGAGACCCCAAGGGGAGCAGAAGCAAAAAAAAAGTCATGAAAATACAACCAGTTTAATAAAACCACAAAAAACTGATGACCACGTACTCAGGGTGGAGGTGTGGTCTGATACTGTGGGAAATGTCTTTGTGTGCAACAGGATGACAGAGTCAGAACGAAATCATTGACAGATTACTGCAAACATCTCTTATCTCTTAGTACTTTCACTGGTACACTTCTATTAGGTGTAAAGGAGACAGGTGTAATTACGTTGCATTTGGGTGCAGAGGCCTCGGACAAATAAATCAAGACTTTTTGTCAAATCTGTAAAGAGCGTTCAGCAGAAACTGTCGAATAAGTTTCTTTTTACCTACAGGACATCAGTGAATTCAACCCAGGCTGTTCAGACATGGTGCTTAAACCCGTAAAGTTTTGCTCACAGAGCACTTGACCCGACACTGCAGAGAAATCTGAACTTGATAAGCTAACTTAGCCAGGGGAGGAATTCATTCATAATAATCTGCATCATGAGGCAGGCCTCTGATCTCATCCACTGACCGATGGCAGAAGTAATGACAATGACAATGATTATTTTTGTTTTTGTTTTAAAAAAATCATCTGTAGCTCCTGGACTTGAGGTCAGGGATGTAATTGTGTGTGTGTGTGTGTGTGCGTGTGTTTCACATAATAAATTCTAACATGAAGTTACTGAAATAAAAATCATGCTATTGCTTTTTATTCCTGTAAACGAATGAGCTGCCTGTCACCCCTGCTGTCGCTCTCCTGTTTAACACTTGGGCTGTAAATGGGGTGAAAATGTGACTTAAAAATGGACGAATAAAGGCTTTGTTTCATACTCTGACACAGAGAATACCTTAAGCAACTGTTTGAGACACTTAAAGTGTAGCAGAAGCAATCAGCCAGCCCAATATTCAGTTTTAGTAAACTCTTTAAAAATGTGCATTTATTCAGAGATACTCTGGAACATGTTTTATTTCTGCGCTTTGATTATAAGGTAAGCATTTGCAGGTAACTGAAAAGGATTTTATTCAAAGCAGCGTTCGGGAAAGCCCGGAACTTTATGACTGCTAACAGAGATGTGGGACATCCCAGAGTGCTGCCCCTCAGAAGAGAAGCTGATACATGAGTACACAGAACAACAGAAATCCATTAGTGCAATAAATAAAACATTATCTGTCGAAGAAGGAAAAAGAAAGGAGAAAGAGGGCACACAGCTGTAATAATACAGCCCTGTTAAAAGGCTTATTTATCGTAGCTGAGGCTTCCCCGAGCGACTATAGAGTGCTTTTTTTTATTAGGTAGATACCGAGCTGGTAAAAGGGATCTTAAGATATCCAGATTTCAGAGGTTACTCAAAAGCAAATATACAAAGATGAGTTTGTAGCTGCTTCTTAAAGGCCACCTCAAAATCCATGCATTCTCTAAGTCAGAGTGTGGGGATGCTGTTCCATCGTGTTAGTACCAGGTGGCAAACCTGTCACACCATGATGTGAAGAGCTGATGTTTAAATGATGCAAGATGCTGATGAGCAAGTGCCTCTCACTCTGATTGGCCCTTGAGGCAGGAACTCGTCACTGTGTACAGAGACAATGAGACAAACAAGAGGACACAGATTCTTCAGCATCTGTGTCATAAAAATTAGACATCCAGCAATGATAGAAATCGTTTTAAATGCAAGATAAAATAATTTAAGATGAGATAAATCATACTGGAATATGACCTTTCCTTTCAGTATTTTTGTTTTCTTTACATGCCATTTATAGCTATTGCGAATTTCCACCTATTGTCCCTTGTTTGCCTTACATTCACAATATACAAAGTTAGAACATACATTTACATGAAACCAAAATACACAATGAATACAACTACAATTAATAAACAATGTAAAAAAAAAGATTCATAGAAATTACTACACACACACACATACATACATACATACATACATACATACATACATATATATATATATGTGTGTGTGTGTGTGTGTGTGTGTGTGTGTGTGTGTGTGTGTGTCCGGGAGTGACGACGCAGTTTTCAGGACACTTGATTGGTCAGTAGGCGGTGCTGTCTCACCTGTTGATCGGTTACCGAGGAGAAAACCCCCGGTAAGAAGAGAATCCCGTCACCTCCCCTCAGCCTGGGAACGATTAACCTAACTGAAGGTAAATCTTAAGACTTTAAAAAGCGTCAGACACGAAGGCTGCTGCTGTTACAGCTAAGGTGCTTTCAAACACCACCTACACCTTCACCTTGAACTATGATCAGGTGGTGTTTGTTTAACCCGGACAAAGCCCGGACATGTGGTCACATGTGCGCATGTCTACGAACATGTGTGAAAAACAGGAACGAGCATCACAAACTTTAGGAAACTGCAGTTTAGCAACATTTATTCTCGATAGAAGGAACAAATCTAACAGTTTGTGAGTGTTTGTGGAACTTCCTCTACAGTCTGTTGCTCTTCACTTCGTAACTTTCTATTACCCTGACCGGCGGATTGATCAAAAGTATCACTATAATCGTTACCTGCGCTGATATTGATATCGATACTGTCGAGATGGGATCAGTGCTGTGTTTCCATCATCCATTGTGTTAAATAATAATTACTTTTTAATTTAAAAAATGATACCTCACACTCACGCTGGGAACAATATCTTGAACCTGTCATGTCTACTTTATTTACAACACAATAAGCACATTTAAACAACACAAGCTGACCCAAACTGCTTTAGGGCTGGCACGTTTACATTCAGCACAGAGATTTAATGCTCATTAAAATGGGTTCAGAATTCACTGATGTGCATCTCATAAGTTTATAGGTCAGAAGTATCAGTATCAGCTATACCGGCCCTGTATTTACTGGGTACATGGTATTGGATTGATACCAACATTAGCAGTACCTGCCAAGCATTATTATGGACACTGGGTGGCAGCGTCTGCTTTTGGCGCTGCTGAAACCTGATCCTATCAGCATTTGCTTTTTCCTCTTGCTTATCTGCAGAAAAGTGAAAGAGGAAGAGGGTGAGTAAGCAAAAGGCTGCAGCAGTGATCACCTCTGTTTTATCCAGACCAGTTTTCAATTTAATTTTGTTGGAGCAGGGTGGGAAAGCAGTGAGTGGCCTCATCAGTGTGTCTATAAAGATAGTAGATAGGTCAGTTGTTGCTTACTGGTAGCAGAACTTGTAAGTTTCAGTGCATATTCAAACATAGCGCATGTGGGAGAATGCAATCCTACACCTCTGTTCCTGGTTTGCATTGTGGACTCCACCCTGCACCTCCTCCCTCTTTCAGTGTTAAAGACGTGGAGGTGGGTGTGTATCTGTTTGCATGTGAGTGCTGAAGGGGCGGGTTGAGTTCTGACTGAAACTATGAGTCCTGACCGTCTCTCACATCATCTAGGTGTGGCTTTCTCTACTGCGATCAGATACTGCTGGCTGACAGAAGTGGCTGAGCCAGTTATTTCCACACAGCTTTAAAGAGTGGAAGTGACGCCAGGCGCTCAAAGAAGAGCTGAAGACATGGCAGATACAGCAGCTGTAGAAGTAGCTCCTCTCCCCAAACAGCAGCAGCAGCAGAACCTGTGTCATGTCTGCTCAGGTAAACTGAGCGAGGGGGAGCCGGCAGCTTGTGGTCACTCCGTATGCGGTTCCTGTCTCGGAGACAAAAGTAAAGGATGTCCACAGTGTCCCGTCAAGCCTGGCAGTCCCAAACAGAATGGAACAGCTGACGCTCATGTAAATAAAAACAGTGAGGAACAGAGTCAAGAGTCAACGACAGCGGAGGAGACTGAGATCCAAAAAGACCTGAATCAGTCCGAGGACCCCAAGAAGCCTGAAGAGGACAAAAAGGAAGCAGAACCACAGACAGAAGAAGGACCAAAAGAGGACCAGGATAAGGAGGAACCTTTGGGCCCCGACGATGTGGTATGTGACTCTTGCATTGAAAGCCCCCGCAGGGCCCTCAAGTCCTGCCTCACCTGCTTGGTGTCGTACTGCGAGGCCCATCTCAGGCCTCACCTGGAAAATCCAAAATTTCAAAACCATCGGCTCGTGGACCCGCTCAGGGACATCGAGAGGCGGACCTGCGAGAGCCACAAGTGGCCCCTGGACCTGTTCTGCTCCACCGACTCCTGCTGTATCTGCCAGGACTGTGTGAACGAGGACCACAAGGGGCACAACACCGTGTCTGTGGTGGACGCTCGTAATCAGATCGAGGCAAGTGTTTCCCTGTACTGTGTGCACATTCCTTTGAATGACCTCAACACATCTGATATGAATTTTCAGGCTGAATTCCCAACTGAAAATATTCTGTTTTATTTTGGGTCTCCTTAAGAGTTCCTGCTGCCTTAAATCTTTTAATGTCAGCATGTCAGCATGTGAGAATCAGCTGCTTTCATTGCTTTAGGGGACTCTGAACTGAGACACTTTCTTTTTGGAGATAGAATAAGGCAATTAAACACTCATATTTTCAGCATTTATTTTTATTTTTAATAAATACCTGAGTTTTGTTTAAACTACACTGTCAAAGAGAGACGCTATTAATTAAAATGAGTCCATTCTAGGAATTTAATGTCAGGATTTCTTATCTCATATTTAGCGTTGCTGAATGTGTGGCAAAGGTCGCGTGGATGGCGAGTAAAGTGTTGAGTAAATAAAAGATTAACTATCAAAGGAATAAGACTGTGACAGCAGTTGTGTCATTAATTAGGAATTTGAGCTCATAAATAATCCTTTAAATCACATCGGAGATTATTGCTTCCCTGCACTAAAGAGGAGACTAAATCTAAAGTGTCTAAGTCAGCAGGTCGGAGCAGCACAGCTCAAATGTTCCTCTAAATGCTTCATCCAGTCAACAGTACTTCAGCGTCCACTCTGGAGGTCATCTGCTCACGTTTGGCTTTGCAGTTAAATCTGAAGCCCATCTCTCTTTGTGACTGCCATCAAACATTCCAGCTTAGATTCCTGCACAGACCTGAAATCAAAACCAGTTATTTGAAGAGCGCTCTCGTTACAAAACCTTTGACTTCTTTGTTAGAACTGCAGAGAAAACACTGGTGGGAGGAGCGTAGGCGGAAATCCCACCACCGCTGATCAAATATTCTTTATTTGCTGACCTGCAAAATGTGATTTTTAGGTACAGTGGAACCCCGACTTACGCATTTAATTTGTTCCAGAGGGTCTTTCGTAAGTCAAAAAGTCGAAGCACCTTTTTCCATCGCCTTTTGAGTGAGGCGATGCTGGCTGAAGACGAAGTTCTTGGTGGAGGAGGAGGTGGCGGAGGTTGAAGAAAGCATGCGTATGCATGCATATGTACGTACGTGTACATGTACATAACATTATGGAATTTAATTTAATTTTTTTTAATTTTCTATTTGATCTATTTCGTTACTCGGGCATTTTGCCGTACCACGGGCAGAAATATTGCCGTTAAGTGCCTTTGTAACTTGAATCTTTCGTTAAATGGGGTCTTCGTAAGCCGGGGTTCCACTGTATTTAGTTTTGAACGAAAGAACATGGAGGTCATCACACACACACACACACACACACACACACTAGACAGAAGAAAAACAGAAAGCACAGTATGATGAATGCTTCCTCTTCCTTTTCAGAGCTTTCATTCCACATTTGAACAATAGAGAATTATTATGTAAGTCACTTCTGTTTAGGTTGATCCCGCTGTCCACCCTCCTGGAGTGGGAGAGCAGGACAGTCCCTTTTTACAGCACAAGAAAAGCATTAAAACATTATTTTGTTTGAAATGATTCAATGAAACCAGTTTTAACATTTTCTTGTCTTACAGAACTCAGTAGGAGTTGTGGGTTTACTGATTATAGAAAAGACTCTTCAGATGTTTAACTACCTTTTCAGCAAATATTGTGTGGATCAAAGTGGAACTAACATAAACCACTGGAAGTATTTCCAAAGATTGTTTTTCGCTTAATAACGACAGATATTTGTCATGGTGCCAAACAAAAGGTCACCTTTGCTTAACTTCTTCATCAGAATAATGTTTCATCATGTTTGACATGATGTAGTCAGGGAATAATGAAAACAATCAAAAGCATTGAATTGGTCACAAATAACACATCAAAGTCTTATTAATGATCTCTTGAGGCGGTCACGGATCTGATTTTGTGAAGACTGCTCAGCAGTCATGTTAATAGATAGTATAAATGATCTTTATTAATTTTCACATCTCTTTCACAAACAAAATAGACAACAAATATATAAAATATTGTAGAAGTACCACAGCAGAGGAAAGCATGTGTAAAACAATACAAGCTTGAAGTGGGGATTTTTAAATGAACACGGAGTTAGCAGGGACAGCTTCAGCTGAGGACTCTGAACCTTGATGTGAATCAATTTTAATTCGTTTTAATATTAAACAGCCACTATGATACGGAGACAACTATTTCCAAGTTGATTATGTAGGACAAAAATGTAATGCAACATGGGCTAGGAAATGAAATGATCCTCCACCTGTAATGTAACATCACAATTTGGGCACACGTGTTATCAGTGTGTAAGCTGGTGCACAGGCATAAAAGCTCCCAAATATTATTTTCAATAATGCTATTGGTTGGATAAGCCAATAGCATTAATAACACAAAGTATCATCTGCCTGACACAATAATTAACTAACACTTGTAACTTGGTGTCGTGTTTCAGGAAGTGATATAAAAATGAGTCAGGAAGTAGGACATCCCTGTCCTGGCAGTAAATTAAATATATATATTTTTAATTCATTTCAAACCTGCACTTGCATGCTGACTCAGAGAGACGCTTGTAGCGCTTCCCGCTGGGCCTACAATTGTAGGAGTTAATATCAGAATAGCTGCTCTGCTTCAGAGTTGCCTGGATCTGCCTGAGCAATTTAGACCTGACTTGACAGAAAACCACAGATATACAAGCCTAGGGTCAGATATCAGACCCTTTCAGAATAAAAGGAACCAGAGAGCAAATGTTTTCCCTGAAACAATCTAGATATTAACATCTACACATATTTTCTATGAGGAAGCTGACTGACTCTTGCTCTGTTAACAGAACGAACTGAGGGAGAAACAGAATGAGATGATGAAGACGATGACGGCGGCAGAAAATGCCATCAACAAACTTCAGCTCAATACAGTCTCCATTGAGGTAAACACAACATTAGAAATGATTCACTGTGAGTCACACAGAGTTAAGTAAAATGAGTCGGTTGCAGCTATTTCTGGCCTGTGAACTCAACAGTTTGTAATCCTGGATATTTCAGAGTCACCCAAATCAAACTGGTTTCTCTGAGGTTTGAGAGGAAATCCATATTTTTCATGTAGTAGTAATGAGTAATGAAGAAGTCCTGCAGTGAGTCTGCAGTTATGTGGCTCTGCCAGGTTCCCTACATGTTACTTACTGTAACTTTGAAAGTAATTAAAAGTTATTATGTCAGAATGTGAACTCTGTTTACACTAAGAGAAACTAAAGGCAGTATTTTACAGCAATCTGTGAAGGATGTACGAGCAGTGATCGAGAGCCAGTTTGAGGAGCTGCAAGCGGTGGTGGAGAGAGCCAAGAAGGAGGTGACGGAGATCTTGGAGGGTGAGGAGAAGCAGGCACTGCAGCAAGCCGAGGGCATTCGGGTTCACCTGGAGCAGAGGTGCACAGATCTGAAGAAGACTCAGGTGCAGATGGAGAAGATTTCCAAGAACAAAAATGATGTGGATTTCCTGCAGGTACAAATTCAAAACAGCAGTGTCATAACTAGTCTTTGTCCCTCTTATGGAAGAAAAGCTGTAGAAATCTGTCCTTAGGCTTGTTTCAAGGTAGCAGAGCTTGTTTTGATTCAACCTCCTTTTCATGTCAAGGTGAAAGGAAACAAGTTGGGCTTTTTGAATATCACCTTTCACCTAATGATAACAGCAACAATGTTAACGGAACTGTTGGAAATTCAAATTAAAAGTTTATGAGTTAAACTTATAGTACAAAATCTTTGTACACCTGACTGAGGGACAGGTGTATCAGAGAGGAAGAAAACTTCATAAAGACAACTAAAAGCACATCGTGTACACTACTTATACACTATTTTGCTTACTCGCATTATATTCGGCCCCTCCAACTGGACACATACAACTGCACTTGTGAGACAGTCTTTATGAAGTCTATGAATCAACTATATTGTTGTTTAACAGGCATCTCAGTTAAAATTC